CCCGAACGTCTTCGACGGGTACTCGATGTCGGGGATGATGCCGTCCTTGGTCTCGTTGGCGATCCAGCACAGCCAGATGCCCTCGCCCGCCGAGCCGCGGTTCTGCTTGACCACGCGCGGCTGGAACGCCATCGTCTTCTTGAACTGGGTCTCGAGCGTCTCCGCGTCGTAGTACGCGAACGTGTCCACGAGGCCGCAGCCCATGTTGGCGATCTTGCAGAGAGCGTCCTTGGCGCCCATCTTCTGCTGGACGCCGGGGCTCGACCAGACGGGCTTGCCCTTGCCGACGAACGCGTTCATCGTCGCGTCGAACTTGGCCTGGACGCCGTCGACGCCCGGGATCTGGGACAGCTGGCCGGGGTTGATGCGGACGATGAGCGCGTCGTACTTCTCGATCGTCGCCTCGAAGCCCGCGTGGTCCGTGTAGTCGTACAGGAGCATGTCGCACGCCCCGCCGGCCTTGATCACGCCGTTCGCGATCGGGATCGAGTCGATGCGGTTCCCGTCCGGGCCCTTGTCCGAGCCGCCGTTCGGGTGGCCGGGGACCTTGAACTGGACGACGGCCAGCGAGTACTTGGCACCCGCCGGCGACGGCAGCAGCGTGTTGTAGCGGACCTTGGACGCCGCGGCCGTGTCGAGCATCTCGAGCGCCTTGATTCCCATGAGATCCGTCAGCTTGCACGCCTCGTAGTAGTCCGCGTCCGGCACGTCCGCGAGCGTCTTGTCGCCGCCGCAGACGGCCTGGAACATGGACACGCCGACGCAGGAGCAGTTGAACTCTCCGACGACGTATTCCGTCTCCATGTCGCACGCGTTCTCCGTCTTCGACCAGCCCTCGGGGTTCTTCGGGATGTAGTCACACGTCCAGAGCAGCGGGAGCGCCTCGCCCTTGAGGTCGAGGACGTCCATCAGGCCGTTCTTGATGTCCGTCGTCAGCTTCGTCAGGAGGTCCGCGTAGAGCGGGTCCGACGGCTCGTAGTACGTGTACGCCGAGTTGCCGCCGACCGCCGACAGGCCGCCCTCGGGCTTCTTGTGGATGATCATCTGGCACGTGTCGCCCGCCATGAGGACGCGGACCTCGCCCTCGGAGATGCGGGGCAGGAGCCGCTGGTCGACGAGCTGGCCGCCGGCCGCCGCGCCGCCCTTGAGGTACTCGCCCGGGAACGTCGACGTCCAGGTGCCGGCGCCGGCGCCGCTCGGGCCGTCGACGCAGAACACGAGGAACTCCTTCACCGTGTGGTACTCGACGTGGTTGTCGTTCATCTCCATGAGCTTGAGCATGACGTCGTCGCCGAGCGACTCGGCCCCGAACGTCTTCGACGGGTACTCGATGTCGGGGATGATGCCGTCCTTGGTCGCGTTAGCGATCCAGCACAGCCAGATGCCCTCGCCCGCCGAGCCGCGGTTCTGCTTGACCACGCGCGGCTGGAACGCCATCGTCTTCTTGAACTGGGTCTCGAGGGTCTCCGCGTCGTAGTACGCGAACGTGTCGACGAGGCCGCAGCCCATGTTGGCGATCTTGCAGAGAGCGTCCTTGGCGCCCATCTTCTGCTGGACGCCGGGGCTCGACCAGACGGGCTTGCCCTTGCCGACGAACGCGTTCATCGTCGCGTCGAACTTGGCCTGGACGCCGTCGACGCCCGGGATCTGGGACAGCTGGCCGGGGTTGATGCGGACGATGAGCGCGTCGTACTTCTCGATCGTCGCCTCGAAGCCCGCGTGGTCCGTGTAGTCGTACAGGAGCATGTCGCACGCCCCGCCGGCCTTGATCACGCCGTTCGCGATCGGGATCGAGTCGATGCGGTTCCCGTCCGGGCCCTTGTCCGAGCCGCCGTTCGGGTGGCCGGGGACCTTGAACTGGACGACGGCCAGCGAGTACTGGCACCCGCCGGCGA